CCCACTTCATTGTCATCCTGTCGACTTCATCTATTTGATAGTCAGTTTATTCATCCCTGTCAAGTGATTTCTTACAGTCTTGCTCTCGGTGGACTCTCACCAGAGCCCCTAAGAGATTTCACTGCTTATCCAAGGCAGCAGAAGGACAGAAGACCCTAACACATGGTGCATCAAAGCAGTGAAAGGCCCCCGCTCCCAACCTGAAAGCACTGGCAGCATGAGACCCTCCAGTTGTGCTGGAGACAGCAGAGCCCCCTAGGCACCATCACCATAGACAGCAACTCCCTCCCAACCCACTTCAGCCTAACAGTCTGGTTGTTCACCCCTCTCACTGACCTTCACCAGACCCCTGAGGGGTTTGACTCTTTACTTCACCCACAATATCAGAATAGCAGAAGACCCAGTGCTTGAGCCCTTCAGAGCACAGGAAGCTCCCTTCCAGAGCACTCAAAGAAGGAACCCTCCAGCTGCACTCAACCCATATGCTAGGGACAGCAGAGGCCCTCAAGGCCTCATCACCCTAGACAACTCCCTCCCAGCCTGCTTCAGCCTAATCATCTGGTTATTCACCCATCTCAAATTCAGTGACTTCACCGGGAATCAACCCTGGAACCTTCTGTCTTACAGGATAGTGCCCAAACTATGCTTACTTACTTACTCGTGGAGATGGGCCCTTCTGAAGAAGCTGCAAATTCTGCAGCTACTCAAGAATTTCCCAGCATGTTATGGAACCCGAAGGTTCATTACTCTGTTCACAAGAGCCCTCCACTGGTCCCTATCCCGAGCCAGATCAATCCAATCAATACCATCCCATCCTATCTAAGATCCAGTTTAATATTGTCCACCCACCTATGCCTTGGTCTTCCCAGTGGTCTCTTTCCTTCTGGTTTTCCCACCAATATTCTATACACATTCCTCGTCTCCCCCACTCGTTCTACATGCCCTGCCCACCTCATCCTCCTTGACTTGATCATTCTAATTATACTTGGAGAAGAGTACAAGCTATGAAGCTCCTCATTATGCAGTTTTCTCCAACCTCCTGTCACTTCATCTCTCTTCAGTCCAAATATTCTCAACATCCTGTTCTCTGTTGTCAGAGACCAAGTTTCACACCCATACAGAACCACAGGCAAAATTATAGTTTTGTATATTATAATTTTTATGTTTTTGGACAACAGACGGGAAGACAAAAGGTTCTGGACTGAATGGTAGCAAGCATTACCCGAGTTCAATCTCCTCTTAATTTCCTCCTGAATCAGGCTTTGATCTGTTATCGGTGTTCCCAAATATCTGAACTGTGCTACATTTTCAAAACATCTGTTTCCTATCTTTATATCATGATTTTGCTCTGCGTTTTGGTGACAAGACAGAAACATATACTTAGTTTTCTCAGTGTTCACTTCTAGACCAACCTCCTTATTTGCATCAATTAAAGAACCATGCTACCACAGTTAATGTAAAAGGAACCCATGGGCTTTAATTAAACTTGAAATATAGGTTTCTATAACTATGCACTGGAGAATGTACTATGATTTCAATGGATGTTTCATCCAGCTATTTCACAATAATGCTTACTGTGGAAAATCACAATTCTGCTATATCTACATACTGAAGGACATGCGTCATCCCTCTGTAGCTTAGAGGGAGGATTCCTAGTGAAACAGTCTGTGATTTACAGTTACCAGTTTCAGGTTATGAATCAATGGAGCCCTATCTGCTTTCCCACTGTGTATAGGCAATGTGAGAATAAGTAATACACATAGAAAGAGCAGGCACACTAGACACTGGTGAGGACAGCTTTAGTATTCTACTAGTGACAACTCTGCTGCTTGTTTTCAGTTGGTATTTGGAACCCATCACAGTAGTAATACTGTTTATCTTTTCACATGTCTTTGTTTCTCCTAAACTATGCTCAGAATGTTAAAATTTTAAATTAAAAATGACCAGAAAATAAATGATTTTTAATACTGCTTAAAAAGTTATGCTTTTAATTATTCTTCAATCATTACTATTGTCCTCATATGTATATACTTCCAATTTAGCAGCTTATAGATTTAATATTGCTCAAAAACTGCTTTTTTTTTTCTTTGTAATTACTAATCATTACCATAGTCATGGTACGTACATTCTTCCATGTAGGATTTGAGGTCCTCTGTCCTTGCCACCTTTCATGCTGCTTTCTTCCAGGGATTATTCTTCAACCATGAAGATGGAGGCAATATGTTCCTCCGAAATGTCAGTTGACGTTTAACGGACTACATGGTGGTATGTCCCAGAAGGTAGTACTCCACATTCTTCCAAATATGGCAGCTTCTGATTTTTTCTATATTCCTAGTCTATTTTCTTGTGCATCTCACCAATCTAGCCCTACGCTGTTAAATTCCATTTATTACACCACTGCAGCATATTCTCAGTCTTTTAATAATGTAATTTTGACTTCATTTCCAAGTAGCTTTTGCTTTTCATGTAGTTCAACATTACTGAACCACTTAAGTCTTGACTTCTGCAGTGTTTCTAAAATCTTATTCCTATTTCCCTGTTTGACTTATTCCCGAGATTACATTATGCATTTCTGGATTTGTGACACCATGTAGTCTTGTAGGTGTATACCAATGTTTCAGAGGAACATGCTCCTTCATCTTCAGGGTCAAAATAAGCAGGATAAGGATGTAGTTAGGCACAGCTGTAGGTCTAGTCTGACACTCAGTTCTCAGTCAAAACATATATGCGAGAATCATGTTATCAGAGTTGTTACCTTACATAACATATCTTTACACTTTAACTAATGTAACAATAAGAAACATGTCATAAAAATATACACGCCTACTTACAGAGGCTGGCATTTCAACCTCAAACAGATGGGTCTGAAATTGAATAAGACATAATCAAGAAAACATGGATCTATACATTCACTCCTTCATATGCCTTCATAGTGTAATGCTTAATTAGTTATGCACAGGGACAATTTTACCTTATAATGAATTTATACTTGGAATTACTGTTTTTTAAAATAAGTATTGGAGTGCTGAAGCACTCAAAAAAGTGACCGGGTGCCATATTGGACCATAGTGGCTCAGCTATATTTCTGCAGTTTGGTTGTGTATGCAGACTACACGGAAGATGACCTATAATTCATGGGCAGGAGATAACTTGGTATGGGTCATAAGGAATGGTGGACAGGAAATGGAGGCAGGACATTCCTCTGAAAAACAGGCAGAACAAAAAGTGTTAGTAATGTTGAAGCAGCAGGTATGAATGTTTGTCAAGGAATGTATCAGATTAGACACAATTAATAACAAAGGCATATCGAGAGCTAAATATTTATTTAGTAAATGGAGAATTAGATAATTACAGAGAGAAATGATTAACCCACTTGAACAGGACTGTCAAATAACAGCGAGCCAATGCCAGCACCTCGTCACAAGCCAAAAGCATACGAGAGATGTAGAGACAGCATTAAAAATACGCCCGTGGAACCACAGTTAAATATTAAATGCCATTTTCAGTGTACTATCAAGAGACCCATCATTTCAGTGAGTCTCCTGTTCAGAATTTGTATAAAATACAATATATTTTCAAGTCAAGAATTTTGAGCAGAATATCAGAACATAAAATACACAAAAAAATATTAAACTGATTTGACATATGGATGTGAAACATGGTCCTTGACTAAAAAGGATACAGTTATGTTGTGCAGGTGGGAAAGAAGCACTCTGAGGAACATATATGAAGTAGTAACTGAGCTAGGGGTTCAGAGAAGTAGAAGTAACCAAGAAGTAACTGAGATAGGGGTTCAGAGAAGCAGAAGCAAGCAAGAAGTAACTGAGATAGGGTTTCAGAGAAGCAGAAGTAACCAAGAAGTAACTGAGATAGGGGTTCAGATAAGCAGAAGTAAACAAGAACTGATATCATATAAACACCCATGATCTGATAGTGAATATTAAAAGAAGATAGGTAGAATGAGTGGAACAGGTGATAAGAATGGATCAAACAGAAGCAGGTAAGTATTCTTTTAGAGTAAGTCAGAAGGCAGAAGAACAGCGGAAAGGCCCAGACTGAGATGGTCAGAAGAGGCAAGAGAATGGTTAAGAGAGTTGAACATGAGGAGATGGAGACAAAGTGTTTATACAGATGTCCCAGGAGGAAAGGTCAATATTCTTGGAGGTCACAGTATCAGTCATTCTAATCAACATGCGCATATGTATATGTTTCCTGTTCCAAACAGTTTGCAAGATACAACTACTCATATTTCACTGTACAGATGAGCAACACGCCATGTCCTCACACAAGTCGCAAAGTGCATTGATTTTGGCGGTGGAATTTTCGAAAATGCATTATACTAGGTAAACTGTACCAACTTTGTCACTTGAACAATAAATACCGGTATTAGAAACAGTATGTAATATCTCTTGCTTATCAACAATTTTGGAAATGTACAGTGAAATAGCTCTACCTTGGAAAGTGTTCGGACTAGGACACATGGACATGACACTTCTTTTGCTTAAAATGACTAATACTATGACCTCTTAGAATAATGACCTTTCCTCCTGGGACACCCTGTACAACAGAGATGAATGAGCATCTGTCAGAAAGAAGACCATGGTTTTTAGAGGGGCCATACAGTCAAGGAGTAAGTATATAACCAAGATGTTAAGGTTAACATGGGGGGGGGGAAGAGGCAATATTAAATTACAGCCTTCTGGGATGTGACACCCTGTAATCTTGTAGATACATACCAGTGTTTCTGAGGAACCTGCTGCCACCACTTCCCTGGCAGAAGATGAAGGCAAGAGGGTACCTTCCAAATATTCATACCTGTCTACCAAACTACACGGTGTCACATCCCAGAGGACCATGGTCTTAGTATATGTTGTGTGTAACAGAAAACTATAGCAGATGCAATTACAGAACTCAGATACTGTAGCATGTACTGTAGGTTCCACATTTGTCTGCAATTTGGCGTGACTGAATCAAAGGCCATAATCAATAACTCACACATGTTTATGTATAACAATGTATCCGAATTTATTGTGACCAATTATTTACATATTGACAACTGAAAAAAAAGTAAATTTTATTTGGTTCACAGTATGAATTTGTCTTTTTCTATTAGTGAAGTGTATATTATTATGCAGGAAGAGTGTATGTGTTTGTAAAATTAAGTCTGAAATGATGAAAGCAAGGAGCAGATTACGATAGACTCATTAGCTTCATTGTGGACATTGCTACCTTAGAAAACACAAAGCAACAACTAATATGTAAATGAAAATCCCTGATACACTATTGTTTAAACAAATGTATCTTCAGACATGTCATGAGACTGGAATATTGCAGCCACAAGAGTCTTACTTCAAATTCACATTTAACAGACATATACTTACGAATGGTTACATTATCAAAACTGTTTCCAAATTAGTTTTAGTATAATCTCACTATGAACTGGAGAACATAAATCTTGACACTTTGCTCCACATACTTCAAAGTCTTCACTGTCATTCACCAAGCCCACGGCATTCCTGAAACTAATGTCACAGTCCCCTGCTCAAAGGATAAGGAACTAAACACTGAATGGCATATGGATTTGTACAATGTGTGTCCTCATCCTGTTATGTTCTAGCATAACACCTTCTTATGCTAAGACAATGACTAGTGCAAAGTTTCTATTCATCGATGTTTTGATGATTTCTTCTTCTTTTTGCTGACTTTGTTTCGGTGCTGGTGTTTCCTGCTACTTCTTCCTCCTTTCCTTCCTCTGCCTTCATCTGAGTCGCTACTTGATGCAGACTCAGATTCTGAATCAGTGTCACTGCTTGAATTTGACATCCGTCGTGAGGACTTCTTGCTTCGCTTGCCATGTCGTCGATGATGCGATTTCTTCTTCCGTCTTCTGTGCACTGAAGAGTCATCAGAAGAATCATCTGAACTACTAGAACTTCCAGAGCTGCTATCATCGTCGTCATCATCTGAAGAATCATCATCAGAGCTGTCTGAGCTGCTTAATGATCTGTCACGTTTCTTTAACGAACCAGCCTTTGTGGAACTGGCCTTGCTACCTATTTTCTTAGCGGTCTCATCTGCTGCTAATTTTTCTGATTTTTCAGACTCTTTATCTAGCTTCTGCCTCTTCTGTTCTGCAGCTGCAGGATCAATGCTTGCAGACCGGTCACGCTTCTTCCCTGGTGACACATTTGATTCTGATTTCTTATCACCTGATCCATCCAGTTTCTTCTCATTATCACCTCCATCATCGACATCTGTGTCAACAGAGGAGGAGGCATCATAGTCTGGCTCAAAACTTGCTTCATCCAAAGTAGACTTTTTACGATCACTTGCAAGACGTGGATTTCTCCTGCTACCTTTCCTGGGCTTGTCTTTGCTCTGATCTGCAGTTTCTGATATTGCCACAACCTTCCCATTCCCGTCACATGCCGCAGATGCTGCTGCATCACTGGATGTACCTGCTTTCACTTCCTTCACTGCTTCACTCTCCTCTTCCTTTTCCTTACCACTTTCATTTTCTTTCTTTTCATCTCTCTGCTTGTGTTTCTTTCCTTTCTCCTTCTTATGCTTCTTATCTTTCTTCTTACCTCGTTTTGATTCTCTATCAGAAACAGACTTCTTGCGACTTGTACTCTCTGATCTTCTGCTCTTTGTCTTCTTCTTTGCTTTGTGTCTTGCTTTTCCTCTGTCTACAGACTTCTCTCTCTCCTCCTTTGGTTTGGGCCTCATCTTCTCAACTTTATTTTCATGGCTACCACTCCTTTCCCTCTTCCTCTCTGGACTCCTAATGTGCTCCCTTTTCTCCCTTAACTCCTCCCATTTCTTGCTCTCACTATGCTCCCTTCTGCGACAGTCACCTCCACCACGTTCTAAAGGTCTCCTCTCCCTGTCCATTTCAACATACCGCCCTTCGCGATCACCTCGCTTGCTCCTTGAGTCTCCCAATGCATACCTCCTGTCTCCAGCCATCTCATACCGTCTTGTCTCCTCTCCATACTTGCTTTCCTTCCTGTCACCTGGCTTCCTGTGGTACGGAGACCTGGACCGCGACCTGGAGACAGTCCGTTTCTTCTCGACAGCACTTTTCAGTCCCTTCTTGGCAGCAGAATGCTTTCGTTCTCTGCTCTCACTTCGACTGTGGTGCCTTTTGCTCTCTTTGTCATCTTTCTTCCTGTCTCCGTCACCGTCGACTCGAGCTCCCAACCTTTCCTTGGCTGACACCCGGTGTGGAGAGGTGCTGTCAGTACCATCAGCCCACTGGCCACTGCTACTGGTACTGAACTTTGACCTGTCCAATTTCCCTTTACCTTTGGCAACTGGTTGTGAACTAGACTCCAGTGAAGCAATCTCCACAGATCTCTCTACATGCCCACCTGTAGGTATTGTGATCTGTATTGAGTTCACAGTCTTTCTTGCTTCACGGGTGTCTTTCTCAGGAACTTTACGAGTTTCAACAGTCTCTGGTACTACTACTTCACCGGGCACCCTCTTTTCTGAGCTTGTGTATACCTTCCTGTCACTAGATACTTTCTTGGGAGGTTCAATTGGACGTATAGCATTAATAGCTTTCTGGAAGATGGCATTCTCTGCCCGCTTGAGGACCTCTGATGTGACAACCTTCCCTGCAGCCTTGTCTGCCTGTGAGCCCCCACCAGCACCATCCTCACACTCTTTCTTCTCAAATGAAGATCCAGGTGTGAACTCTTCTTCTAGTTCCCACTTTGATGGCTCTGGCAATGGTGCCAACATTACATTCGCCTTCACTGTATCTGGGGCCACAGGCTTGATGGCAGCCTCAGAGTCTGAACCACCTTCAGTTTTAACCCTAACTTCAACACCCTCGCCCAATTCCTGGCTTCCTTCTCCTCCTTTGTCACCAGTGTCCGATTCAACCTTCCTTTCTTGTGCCTCATCAACTATTACTTTTCCATAGTTGGCAATCACATTGTCATCAATGCGTGTGTCCTCCATGTCTCCATACAACCCATCAACTATGCTCTCGGTGGGAGGGGCGTCAAAAGTCCTGAGGGTGGTACCCTTTACTTTCTCCACAACGGTGCCAGATGTAAGAGCCAGCACTTTCTTCTCCTGCTGAATGGATGCACATATTAAAGTTGGCTTCTCCTTCATTTTATCCTCTTCTGTTTCTGTTTTCTCTTCACCTTCCTTCTCTCTGTGGTGTGGCTTTCTCTCTGTTCCTTTCACCACAACCTTCATCCTCTCCTGAGTTTCTTGTCCTTCCTTCTTACCCTCTTTCTTCTCTTTGCGTCGTTTCTTTTTCAACTTTTCTCCATCTGGTTCCTTCTCCTTTTTCTTCTTCTTCTTATCCTTACCTTTCTTGCCATCCTCCTCTTTCTTTCCTTTATCATCCTTCTTCAGACGATCCACTGATGGCTCTTTACGAACCTCAACCAGCACTCTCTCTCGCTTCTGGGTGTCCTTGTCTCGATCCCGCTGACCGCCTGCTGCGTCTACCACGGTCTCTACGGGCTGCTGCTGGCTGACATGCCGGTTCTCCTTGCCTCCCTGTGACATCTGAACAGTACCTGAGTTTTTGCGTCTCTCACCGCCCCGCCGGTGGTGGCGCTCGCTGCTTGAATACCGCTCATGCCGGCCCTGTCCTGGTGATAGAGACTGCTTCCGCTTCTTCGCATCTGGTGAATTGTAAGTGCCATAGCCCTTGTCATATGAGCGCCGGTGATCACTCTCATAATAATCTCCCCTGCCTCTGTCACGGTCTCTATCTCCATCCCTCTCTCTTATGTCTCGATCCCTATCCCTATCTTTGTCTCTTGATCTCTCTGACAAGCTAATATCACGGTCCCTGCCTGAAGGCAGATCATCCCTGCTTCCTCTGTCTCTACTGTCCCATAAGGGGAGACCAAGGTCTCTGTCCCTGACTCCTGGAGGTGCAATGTCCCTGTCCCTATCACGCATACTTGGCATTCCCATGTCACGATCTCTGATTCCCACATCCCTATCCCTGATGCCTGGGGGGCCAATGTCTCTGTCCCTAACACCTGGTGGCCCAATATCTCTATCCCTGCTCCCAGGAACGTCCCTATCACGGTCCCTGTAGCGGTGATCAACACCAGGTGGTGTAAGGAAATCCTCGGCAGGCATTGACCGATTCTCATAGTTGCTGCGTTCATAGCGAGGTTTCTCATACGATGAGCCAATGCCAGGGATGTCAGGACCTGTTCCTGGTGGCGCAACATCAAAATGGTCATAGCGACGGAAACTCTGGGGCGGCACCCCTGGTGGATGTGGAAGCAGTGGCTCCAGAGGGCGATGGTGCATGTCACGGCCGCCTTGATGTGGCATAGCATACCTGCAAGGACAATGTAATCTTGTGACATCACGCAATATTGCCAGCATGTTCCACTGAAAAGTTGCTATCAATCTATAAGACTACATTGCATCACAACCCAGTGCACACAATGTGAATATTCTATTCGAATTTCAACCCAAATCTATATATAAAAGCAACAACTATAATGGTCTTCCTTGGTTCATTTGTGAGTTTTAGTGTATCATTTCACTGTAGCAGTCTCCAAAAGGAAGTGAAGGTATACTAGGAAGATAAGATATACAAGTTTGTGACAATGGTATATTAATACAATTATTGTGTTTCTGGTCATTATCCATTATCCTGTTTTTTATTTAAAACGTTTCAGTTACTGGATTAGCTCTCCATCTTTGTGTAGAACCTACTCATTTGGACCCAATCAACAGACCTAGCCCCAACTATTGACTGGACCCAAGTGAGTAGGTTTCTACCTGAAGATTGAGGAAGAATCCTGTCTCCAAAATGTTGTTTTCAATAAAAAGCAGGATGATGCATAATGACCAAAAAACAATAACTGTAAACTAGGCGGTGATTACAGTAGACGAGCCAGGAGAACGAACATGGAACAAGATTACAGTCCTCTGGGGTGTGATACCATGCAGTACAGTAAACAGGAACTGATATGCTGCCTCCATCTTCATGGTGAAAGGATACATTAGCATGTATCTACTGTATATCAGAGAAATGCATCCCAGAAGACTGTAAACTTAATACTCACCACTGTGAGAACCTCAAATCTTGTATCAGAAGTGGAACAGTCTGGCCATGTCATGGCAGTTACAGTTGTGAGCGAGCAATCTATCTGAACATGAAAACATGTCTGCCAAGTATCAACCCATTCTCACTACCAAATCTACGAGAGCTGAAGATATTTTTTGAACCTGCTAGCAGGAATCCCCCCGCCAATGATAATGACTTATAATTCTATTCTCCTGGCAATTCTTACATCCCAGTCTCACACAACCTAAAACCAAACACTATCACAGTCAAGTAAGTAAAATTCCTGCTTTGTATTCGAAAGGATTGGGTTCAAACTTCAGCTTGCAGATGGGCTATTCTGAACTTTCCATGCATTTTCTCAGTACCTCCAGGTAAATGCTGGAATAATACTACAAATTAGGATACAACAGCTTCCTTCCACATCCCTTTCAATCCATTATTAATGAATCATCCAACTGTTCTTGTTTTCATTCTTGAGTGATAGTGTACCCTGCAGATCCTAGCTGCTTCCTACTTCATCCCTTCGAAGCATGAAGTTCATATAAACAATATTTCAAAATTCAGTTCCTTACTTACAAATTACATGCCACACCTGCATTACAAAGACCAACCACGTATCACTGTTTTGGGAAATAATCACTATTTATTGTGAGAATCACACCAGACATACAAGTACACTGTGTGGTCACAATGGAAAGTTTATAAATGTTATAGCAGATGGTACATATATTTAACACTGAGTTTTAAAGGGATAATGCTGAGTTACTACACAGTGATATTGGGTTTTTGGACTTCATCCATCGTCCTGGTTTTAACATAACTAAGAAAAACACGACGTTTCGGAAACTGGATCTGTTTCCATCCTCAGGTGAGGGAAAACACCTATTCTGTTGGATCCCTCAGAAAGAGCTAGTCTCAATCACTGGACCAGTAACGTAGTGTTTTTCTTAGTTATCTTAAAACCAGGACGATGGATAAAGTCTGAAAACCCAATATCTCTGTGTGTTATACACCATCATCAGAATCATATAGTAACTACTTACTACACAGTGGTTCAGTACTAATATTTATTGTTTCAGGCAACTGATCAGTAACTCCACCCTTAAGATGTAAACAATTCGGTTCTAAGAAAAAAAAACAGTCGATCACACTGGTGTGTCATTACCTAAAAATAGGCACAAAATTGGTTGCAAATCAAGACTACTTGTAACACTGTGTAGTCTGGTTGATAGGTACCATTGTTTTGGAGGAACATATTGCCTCACTCCTGTTCTACCCTGAAGATGGGTGCAGCAGGTTCCTCTGTAACACTAGTAACTGTCTACCAGACTATGCGGTGTTACATTCCAGAAGACAGTTTATTGTATATTCACTGCTGTGAGAAGCTCAAATCTCACAAGACTAGTTGCAAACTGTCATGAAAGCCTGGAGCCACCTATGGAGACTATTATTTCAAATTCAGCACTTGCAAGAGAATAGAACCTACGAGGGTGAAAAGAAAACAGCTCTATCAGAAATGACTGCCTGTAAATGTGTAAGGGTAAACATTATATAAGCCACAATTACTGACCGTGCCTTTAAACTAGGTAGAGTTACATACAACGTGAGATAGAACATGGTGCCTCAACTTGGATAAATGTATTAACAACTTGAGTAACCTTCATGACTGCACCACTGGATTCCAAAATGACTTGACAGTACAGTCAGGCCTACTGCAATATTACTAACAAACCAACTAACTCCACGGTGCTACGTCTTTCTTGAGAAGCTATCAGTCACTCGGCAACTCAAGAAATTCCCAGCGTTTTACAGAACCCATCGTTTCATTATTCTGTCCACAAGAGCCTGCCACTGGCCACTATCCTGAGCCACATGAATTCAAGTGGATTTTAATGGGTTCTGATGATGGTGTATCCACTCATGATTATTGTGGTTTCTGGACTTTTACATCTTTCGGGAGTTGGCATCCCATATTGTGCCAACAAAAGTGCATCTTGTCCCTAAGGACTGCCATACTAGGATATTGAACAATTGTGGCGAATAGGTCAGCTTTTTAATCACACTCATGAGAGCAGCTCCCTCCAAACCCCTCACCTGAGGATAAAAATTTATCCAGTTTCCGAAACATTGCATTCTTTAGAATACTGGACAATAGACAAAGTCCAAAACCCAGTAATCCCCAGATTAATTTAGTACACATCCCCATCCTCGTTCCTTAAGATCCCTTTTAATATTATCATTTCACCTAAGTGTAGGTCTTCCCAGTGGTATCAGTCCTTCAGGTTTTCCTATCAAAACTATGAATGTACTCCTCTTCCATGTGTGCTACATGCTCTTCCCATTTCATCCTCCTTTAATTTATCATTCTAATAGTATTAGGCAGGGAGTATAAGTTATGAATAAAGCACACAGCATGGTTAACTCAAATGTAGTCAAGGCTACTCAAAGTAGTGTCCCAGCATCTGCTTGGAATTACTAAGAAAAGCTGTGAAACAAATCAATCAAGGTGGCTGGTCTCCATACTTAGAATCAAACATGCGACCTACCAAACACGAAACAGGCATACTGACTTCTCAGACACATTCGGTGTGTTCTGCTACTGAGTCAGGGAAAGTATGAACATGACTAGTGAAGGTTAAGCCAGCCACCTGCTCTCACAGCCTACCTACACTTGACTTTTTCCTCTGTAAACTTCAACAAATTAAAGACAGCAAAATGAGACAGAGAGCCTGTACACTAAACAAAAGCCAGAAAACAAGGGGCAACTGGAGTGAGGGAAGGCATACGAAGGAGAGGTAGCTGCTAGGAAGAAGGGTGGGGAAGAATGCGTTCATTCTCTCCCAGCCATGACTCCATTAGTGGTGCAATCACCCTTTTAATTTACTGCATTTTATTGTGTTCAGCACAACCAAAATATGATGCAATAAAAGTCACTGTTGCCAGTGCATATTTTACATTAAATTGAACATAATAAATACCATCTAGTTATACTAATAAATTATCATAAAGCCATACACATTCTGGCCATATACAGCCACCTTCGAAGGCATCTAGTTTACAAAAAGAAACTTTACATAAACTTATTAAAATTTACATGATTTAAAATGGACATATTCACAAAATACTTATTGTGTTTAAAACTAGCACAATGTAACCCAGTGAAATGGGTGTTATTCAAATCTTGTCTGGTGACTGCCTGATTCTGTCTTGCAGCATGTTGTGTGTGTTCATGCTGTTAGACATGATGCCTTTAAACTATTATTTTTGATTCTATACATCATCCAAACTGATTAAATCCACTATGTTCTGAAAATTAGTTCTATTTCTATCTTAGAGCAAACAAAATATGAAAGGAGACCTACAGTGTTGGCCCCTCAGTACAGCTCACAAACTCTTGGTGTCCACAGTCTGAGAGTAGCTCTACAGACGGACTCAACACAGGTTTCCTTTCATTTCATGTTCACCTAAGGATGGAAACAGAATCAATTTCCAAGAAACAGTGGTTTTAATGAAATTGTACATGGGATATTTACAAAACAATAGTTTTCAACGTGACACAGCCATCATAAAATGCTTTAAACTGAGAAGGTACTGTGTTTCAGTAAATATGAAGAGTGTGTGTGCGCGTACATGCATCCGGGGTTTCAGTAGTGCAATCATTTCAAATCGGTATTTTACAGCTACAGAGAAATCTGCCATTTCAATTTGAAGGAACTCACACTGAATCACGGGGACACACTATTCAGTATCAAATACAATGGTAGTATGATCTAAGAACTTGAGAGATTCCATAAGTAGCTTCACAGTTACTATCCCAGAATTTGCTTGGATGGACGGAGAAAAAGCATAAAGGAAACCTCAGTCATGACAGTAATGGTTCAAAGTTGGGTATTTTCTAAATATAAAACAACCATGTATGTAAATTCTCTGGTAGAAGATTCTAAAGGTTCAAGAATGCTAACACCAAAGCCCACAATTGGACACAATCTTTAACCAGTTCCATCCACCTCCCATCCTCACAGTCTGTTTACCTGAGATCCATCTTAGTAATTACACAACTCTCTAGTAGCAAAACCCGAAGGTTCAACATCAGACTGCTATTGGACTCAATCCTGAGCCAGTTCCATCAACCTCCCATCCTCACAGTCTGCTTCCCTAAGATCCATCTTAGTAATTAACTAACTCTTTGCTAGCAGAATCTGAAGGTTCGACACCACTAACACCAAAGCCTGCCATTGGACACAATCCTGAGCTAGTTCCAT